AGGGCGGTAGCTGCTTCCCAGCGGTTGGCTGATGGTTCAGAACACCTATGAGACAGAAAGTATGAGGGGAAAGACTGAATCCATGATTATCTAATTGAAGCAAGCTTTGTTTTGGGGTGCAGTCTGGATTGGACAGTCCAGCTGTCTCTCCCTAAATTGGGATTTTAGAGAGTAGCCCTGCCAGCCTCTCGAGGTTCTTTTTATAGGAGAGATAAGGCGTTCACAGGAGCAAGCGACTTGGCTGTTACACGCTTTTAGAAAATACAATGAAAGGGGAGGGACAAGGGGAGGATTGATACCATGAGACTGGGGTCACAAGTTTAGCGTGGGCTGAAGAGCGTGTTTTGCAGCTTACGTCAGATCTAAGAAACAGGATCGTATCCTTAACTACGAATAGAAACCTTAACTTGCAAGGACTCACACAAGGACAAACAGGAACTAATTCTTAACTGTCTTGATGGCAAACAGAAGCCTTAGCCTGCAAGGTATATAATGCTTCTGTTTCAGTCTGACAAGACCCGAGTTTAAGACTTCCTTCACACGAGCCAGCTTCCTCTGAGCTGGTCCTGTCCCTGTCCATCTGTGGAACATGAATCTTGACAGAATGACAAGGGATGGGGCCGAGGTCAAGTTTTCCATAGTAGAGACGCTGCGTGGATTCAAGGACAGATACTTCCTGAGAGCCAGGGACAGCTGGGAAGGCTTCTTGGGAGGAGGTGAACCATGAGGGGCCAGCATGCATTTTGTGTGCTCACGGCCAGCTCCCTGGGAAGTGCTGGAAGGCCATGGTGTAAGGCCCTGGTTCTTGGGCCAGGTTTATAGCTGGTGTTCCTAATAGTCCCACAGACAGATGGGTCCAAAGCGCCCCCAGAAGGCTGAGGCAGCCAAGGGACACATGTTCTTGGGCTCACACTCTGTCCCCTGTTGGTTCTGCCTGCCCTACTACTGTCCTTGGTTCTTCATTCTCTGTCTTGTGCCCTCCTCTCCTCGGGTATGGAAGAAAGGGAATGTGCTATGTGGCCTTGGCTTAACTGCTCACCCTCTCTGGGCCTTCTTAGCAATACCAAGTCATTCATGGCTTTCTTAGTGGATCTGCTGAGCTCCTGCAAGAGTCATGGGGACTGTGAGTGGGGGAGGAGTCTCTACCAGGCTTAGTCCTGATCCTGACCTTCAGTTCTTCCGTTTGTGGAGTCTTTGGACTTCAGGTTACGTCTAAGCTTCCTCTTCTGATGCTCTTGGCACGGCCCAGTCGTCTTGGACTGCTGTCTACAGCACTCAGGACGCAGCCAGGTCAAAGCTATCAGGGGAGTGGCTTACATGGCTGGTGCCTAGACAACCTGGTCTAAGGCCCCCGGGGATGGGGAATCGGTGTCTTTGAGCCTTCTTGTTGTAACTGGAAAGGTTGGGCTCCAGACAAAGCCAATGACTTGATGGGGCGGGGAGCAGTGTGGGAAGAAGAAAGAGAGAACTATTGCTAAGATGTTGTCCTGGAAGATGAAGGAGTCAAACACCTTAGGGACAGCCATGCCCTCTAACACGAGAGTAAGCTCATTACACTATCCCTGCCCCATGCATGCGTGTACACACACACAGACGGCACACACATATACCCATAAAACACAAATCAAAACACTTTTTTAGTGCCCTAGTAGATGGCCCAGTTGACAGGGCAGTTGCCACACAAGCATGAGGACCTGAGTTCAGGTCCCCAGTACCCGTGTAAAAAGCCAGACACGGCCCATACCTTGAGCAAGAAGGCTAATTAGCATATCAGTGATTCCAGGTGCGGCGAGAGACCCAGTCTCAAAAACTAAGTCCGAGAGTGACGGGGGGGGGGGGGGGGGGGGGGGAGACAGCCGACACCGATCCCTGCCCTTCACCAGTCCACACGCATGTGCATATAAACACCACATCCTCAGAGATGTCCCAGTATTCTCTCTCCATGTCCCCATGCGACACCCACCCACACACAGACACACCCTGAAATCAGGCTGTCACCAGCTCTCCCTCACCAACTCTGGTCTGGATCAAGGCAGGTGCCCAAGAAATGGCTGCTGGATAGATGGTGGGCAGGCTCTGGAAAAGGGGAGGAACCATTTGTGCAATGGGGCTTGGGGGATCACTGTCTTGCTTAGGTTGAGATGGGAGAGAGAAATGGGGTGCAGGTGAGGACAATGGGCTGTGCCTGCTCTGGATTACGTCATGGGGTACAGTCTGGTGGCTTTCAGGCTGTGCATGCTCTGGGTTATATCCTAGTATACAGTGTGGAGGCTTCAGCCTGGTTTTGCTTTGGATACATCATGGGGTATGGCATGGTGGCTTCAGCCTGGTTTTGCTCTGAATTACCGTGTTTTACAAAGCAGCGGTTTGCCGTGAGTTACCCCGTATTGAGTGCAGGTGCCAAGACAGAAGGACTCCGCCTTGTTTATCTAAGCAAACAGCTGCCGTCTGCCAGGACACCAGGAGCCACAAACTGATAAATGGTTTATCTATGCCAATAAGCAACGCCTGTGAGCATATCACATCACACAGAAACACCGGTTACGTGGGCTTATCCATGCACCAGATGTCATTCACACTAGGACTGTCAAGGAACACCACAAAACTGCCATGTGGCCTTGTGTGCCAGCCCCTCACTCAGTTACCTCCCAGGAAAACAATCTTCTAAGCAGAGACTCTGTCGCATGATCTCTGTCCCTTGGCAGCTTCAGCTCAGGTGGGATGTATCCCTGAAGGTGGCATGTGGGCCACAGGACCCTCTTCAGTCTGATGGCTGGAGTTGCCACCCAGATGGCATTGACGGCCTTGTGCTCATGTTGTTTTATTTCTCATCTGGAGGGGCTCAGCTGTCTGAACCCCGAAGCTCTCTAAACCCTTCCCTGGCCGTTCTGTAGCCTGGATATCATGACATGACATGTGACGTGTGTGACGAGAGGTCTGAGGGTGTTTGATGTTAGTAAGTATGGTGGGAATGGAATAAAAGACACTGTGGTTGCCCATGGTTACGATGACCGAGTGTATCAGTTACTCTCCTGGTTGCTATGAGCAAATACTTAACAAGATACCCCTGAAGAAAAGGAATCTCAGTCTGGCATGGTGGCGCAAGCCTTTAATCCCAGCACTTGGGAGGTGGAGGCAAGTGGATCTCTGTGAGTTCGAGGCCAGCCTGGTCTACAGAGCAAGTTCCAGGACAGTCAGGGCTACACAGAGAAACCCTGTCTTGGAAAAAGAAAAACAAAACAAAACCAAACCAAACAACAGCAACAGAAAGCAGAAAGAGAAGAAAGAGACGTTCTCTCAGCTCCCACTTAGAGGGTAAATTCCTTCATAGCCGGGCAGGGACGGCAGTAGAAAGGCGAGGGAGCTGTCGTGTGGCATCTGCGCGAGGAGGCTGAGGAGGACAGTACTCACTCAGCTCACTTTCTCATTTTTATTGAGTCTGTGACCCCAGCTCAGGGAACAGTGACATCTACACTCTGAGTGAGTCTTCTGAGTTTAACTATTGATCTAGCCCGTAGATGCAGACAGTCTGACCCTGTAGACACAAACAGTCTGACCCTGTAGACACAGATGGTCTGTCCATACACTTGGCATAGTGTATGGATGACAAGAGCCCAGAGCTTGATGGGAAATTTCCTCTAGGCAGAGCCACCCCTGTAGAATCTAGTTTATTGGGTGCCAGGAATAAAACCCAGGGTGTCATGGGTCCTAAGCAAAGTGCTTACCGACTGAGCCACATGCCCAGTCCCCTCGCTATGTGGTTTATGACATATCACACCTCCCTTCTGTGTCCACACAGCCCATGAGGCAGGTGGGGCAAGCTTCATGAAAGGGCCAGCTGACTGGCAAAGCCTTGTGTTGGAGGGATGCCCAGCAGAGGGACTCAGGCTCCCTGAGGATGTCCTGGCTCTGAGAGCCAGTGGAAGGTGCTGGACCTGGGCTAATGTTTCTACGGGATGTCGCTGGAGCCTAGGCCCCTGCCCTCACTGTTTCGGGGAAGAGCCAACTTCAGGACAGACTCAAATCCCTGTCATATTCTCTTTGCCCAAAAGTTTGCTTAAAACAACGAATTCTCAGAGGAGTGTTTAGCGGAGGCAGAGCGTGTGTGTCTGTAGATACCGTCCCCCAGACAAGCCTGGGGGTCCATCCAGATACAACTATACGACTCCCATAAACCACACAGGATTCTTCCTGTGAGCCATTTCTAAACTCCACCCAGAGTCAGACCTCTGGGCTGAGAAGAGCCTGGCTTCTCTCCCTCAGCTGGCTTAGTCTTACTTTGTGAATGCCATGATTCATGAGATCTCTGCTACTTTCTCTTTTTCCTGGTCTACTAGGGAACTCATCGCTAAATCTACCATACAGATAAACTCCATAACAATCCCGCCTTCCTCTCTCCCTTTCTCCTTTGAGTTAATATCCTCATCTGAAGAGAAAAAAAAAATCCCAAGATTAGTGGTTCTTGACCTGTGGGTCGTGACCCCTTTAAGGTCACATATCAAATATTTACAGAACAATTCATATAGTAGCAAAATTACAGTTATGAAGTAGCAATTCAGTAATTTTATGGTGGGGTGGGGTCACCACAACATGAGGAGCTGTATTAAAGGGTTGCAGCATTAGGGAGGTTGTGTTATGTGGGCATTCTCCAATCCTTTCTCCTATGATGGGAGTGTGAACCCACCAAGGCTATGAATGCGGAGTCTTCTGGGATGTGTGAAGGACCGAGAGGTGGAGGGGAGGAGCCCTAGGGGCTGAAAAGCCTGAAACTCATGGAAACCCCAGGTCAGGGAGTAAGTCCCAGCAGGAGCAGCAGGAAGGCCCAGAGGGATTAAGACGAGGGATCCAGTCAGGAGGGTCGTTGAGGCTCTTGGGGACCTAGAATGCCAGGTCAGACTTGTGTTTCCTGATTTCCTGAGCATCAGCCATAAGTGTGCTACTATTTAATGTATGTCTCTAAACTTGTGCGTTATTGGAGATTTTGAAAATTAGAAGCCTGGGTGCTCATTTCAGCAGCACATAAACTAGAACTGGAACAAAGCAGAGAAGAGTAGCAGGGCCTCTGTGCAAGGAAAACATGCAAGTTTGTGAAACATTTCATTAAAAAAATAAATAAGTAAAAGACTGAGACATTGAGAGGAGCCATGCAGAACTCCAGCTATGTACCCAGTTCCTTGGCTTGGCTGAGGATGACCTTGAACTCCTGATCCTCCTACCTCTCTTTCTCCTGGTGCTGAGATTACAGGTACACACCACCATACTCGGTTTATCCTGTGCTGGGGATTGTACCTAGGACCTCAGGCATGCTAGGTGAGCATCTGACCCACATCTGAGGCTGTGAAGGCTTTCCAGAGAGAAGACATCGGACTGTAGAAAGCCAGGGCCTGGGACACCAGGAGCTGCCGAAATCTCCAAAGAGAGACAGTAGGGTCCGGGTCAGGGTGGCGGTGATGGTGAAGGGGAGGCCCTGTGACCAAGAGAAACTGGGAGGTGGGGAAGGTGAGCTGGAGGGTGACGGCTTCGAGTCTGAGACCGAGAAAAGGGAAGACTGAAGATGCGGGCAAAGGGTCCCTTCAGCGCCATTTCTAGAGATGTGGAGGCCATGCATGGCCTGAACAGAGCAGAGTGATCTGAGGTCACGGAACTGGCCACCTGCAGGGAGGCATTCTGGAACCTAAGCCCCTGAGGGCAGCATCCTCGTGCCTGCTCAGCTGGTGCCCAAGCCTGACCCAGCCCCGGCAAAGGTATCATTTAGCACTGTTCATACGGTCGCATGGGCCTCAGGTGTCCCTCAGCAGAGAGCTGGGCCTGGGCTTTGGCTCTGTGCGAACAGGGTTGGCAGAGTCATGTGGCGGCTTGTGGTTCTCACCCCTTCCTGTCATTGCAACCACTGGCCCCAGGGACCCCTGCTCTCAGGGAATTGGTGGGTATGAGGCTTTCTCATGACACGGAGAGTCAGAGTGTCTGGTGGCACTGCCCAGGCACCAGCAAGCCTGCCCTGGTGGCAGTGGTACAGAAAGAGGTTGTAGGCTATCTGGAGGACAACAACAAGAGTGGAGAGCACTCACCCACTGTCTGGAACTCTGGATTCTAGGGTAGCACCCAGAAACAAGTTCCCTCTAGATGTCTGCTGAATGAATGAGTGAGTGAGTGAGCGAATGAATGAATGAATGAATACTCTGGGTCTTGGCTCAGCTTCCTATGATTTCTCCCATGTCACCTTGGGTAAGTCATCACTCCCTTCAAGCTTAGACTAACCTGACTGGAAAATGAGCCCAGAGGCCATGACCCTCTGATGGCGACAAAGAATCTTTCGGCGCAAAGGTAGCATAGCAGGAAGCAGGTGGGACTGTCCCTTCAGTTCCCAGGAGTCCTGGAAGGGGAGGTGGCAAGAGGAATGGGAAGGGGTCTGGAGCTAGGGGCTCTACAGATGCCCCTCCTTGCAGGCTGCCCTGGGGAAGCACAGCCGGGGTAGGGAGGTGTGATCCTGGGGCTGGAAGAGCCACAGCTGGGGTTGGCAGTCCCCAGGCAGCCTCAGGATCCCTCAGATTTGTACCAAGACCTGGACTGGCAGTTCCTATGTCTTGCTGGTTGCCAGGGCTCCCCTGGCCCAGGTGCCTAACCTCACAGACATCCAGGGACATCCCCAAACAGACTTAACACTATCCTTACCCAGAGTCCACACCATGATGCAGTGTATCAGGGGTTTTGTTCTCAGGGAACAGCAACTGTGGTCTGCCTAGGCAGGCTGTGTCCCTGGGCCACAGTAACCACCCAGCCCTGTCACTTCACCTCTGACCACTCCTCTCATTTGAGCAGCCTGCCTGACCCCGGAAAAGTGTCTCGGGAGAGAATTCTGATCTAGTTCCACACATGGGGAGCTGGGGCCCTAGAGGGGGCAGGAATCATAGTCTCTGAACTCAGCCGCACCCTGGGACTTACTAAGAGTATGTGTGTGTATATGTATGTGTGTGTGTTTATGTGCATATGTGTGTAAGCATATGTGTGTATGTGTAAGTGTCTGTGGTATTGTTTTTCCGTCTTATTCCCAATTCATTTGTATAGCCAAGCTTCCCTCGAACAACCCCCTCGTATAATGCTCCCCACCCCTTTTGTTCCTCATCCTCCTTGCTCATTGCCTGGCTGTCACTGTGTGTACAGCTCCTGAGCCCCACGAGGACAGGATCTTGTCGGTGGGCTCCCTGTTGTATCCTGGCACAAAGAAAAATGATCAGCTTCCACAAAGCTAGTGAAGCGGTGGGACACGGTTGTCAGAGCCCAGCCCTAGACACCTGCCCAGCTGCCGTATCCCCGGCTTGTGCGTGGGGCATGCTGGAAGAATCTCTCAGTCCCACAGTCCCAGGACAGCTGTCCCCAGCATAGCGTTGTCTTTTCAGCTGCCCCAGCCAGGGCAGGAACTGTGAGCTGAATATTTCATCTGTCTGGGAAGTGGTGAAGTCACCCAGCTCCCACCCCCGCTGCTCCCAGGTCTGACCCATCAAACTTGGAGTCTCAAGTTCAAAGAGACCACAGCCTGGACGTGTAGGATGTGACTTTGTGGGTTGTGGGTAGGGCAGGGGCCTGGGCAGGTCATGGTGTCTCCCAGGAAATGGTCTCAGGTAGAAGAAAAGGAAGGGAGGTAAGGAGGGTTCAGAGTCCCCAGAGGGGGCTGAAGAGGAGGCACGTGGGCTTCCTCCAATGAGAGAATAAAGACAGCTCTTGCTATTTTCTAAACCGGCGCAAATGACTGTTCACATTGTTCACGAAGCCTGTGTGAACAACATGGGAAAGTACACAGAAGGAGCCAAGGACCTAATGCTCCCCTGGCAGGGACCTGTGGATGCTCAGGAACCCGGGTAGAGGCGAGGAGGCCCGTGTGCAGAAACCGGCCTTGGAAGTGTGTCTTAGCTCTGGCCTCGGTTCCTACCCCTGCAAAATAGAGGTGTATCCTATGATACCCCCACCCATTCCTCCACAGCCCTCCTTGTCTCCCTTCTTTCCCCTCAAGCCTGAGAGTGACCCCTTGGAGAAGCCAAGTCCTACTGGCCCCTGCCCTCCCCACACTGTCTAAGAGCACAGCCAGGCCATGGGTCTTCAGGCTTGATAGGAACTTGTCACCTGGAATTGTTGGGAATGTTGGAGGAGCGAATATGTAGAAGAGTCTTACAAACTGCCTGGCGCAGGGTGAGGTTGGGTCTGTGATGACTAGTATGGTAGACCTCATTGCCATCAGCACTGCCATTGTCCCCATCATGTCATTACCATGGTCTTCTTACGGATGGCTTCTTATAATCAGCTTCCTCCTCCCGTGTCTGTTCTCTTCCATCCGTTTGTCTATCCATCGCCCATCTGTCCACTCATTCGTTTGTTCATCTATCCACCAGTCTATCCATCAGTCCCTCCTTTTATCCATCCAGACTTCCTCAATGAAAGCCTGTGTACTTTGGGGGAGCTCACTTGACATTCCTTACTCTGTTTCATGAGAAATGGGTATGTTTCTACCACTGGATAGGTTTAGACAAAATGACTGGGGTCCTGGTTCTTCTGGTTTGGGGAAAAAGTGGTGGAGAGGCCACTTCTGAAGAGCCGCTTTTCTGGATTCTGTATCTGAGGAGGAAACTGAGGCTTAGCCTTGATGTCTATAGGTAAAATGAAGTTTTTTTTTTTTTTTCAAGACAGGTTTCTCTGTGTAGCCCTGGCTGTCCTGGAACTCACTCTGTAGATCAGGTTGGCTTCAAATTCAGATATTTGCCTGCCTCTGCCTCCTAAGTGCTGGGATTAAAGGCATGTGCCACCACCACCCAGCTAAACAGATCCCAAGTGCCACGTAAAACTGGGTGTCACTGCAATGACAGCAGGAGGATCGAGAGTTCAAGGTCATCCTGAGCTGTATAGTGAGTTTGAGGCTGGCCTTTCAGCAACAAAGGAGAGAAAAAAAAGTCAAATTAGAGAGCCATTTCAATTGTCTCTGTGTCTGTGCTTGTGACTGTCTCTCATACACACAGTTACACATACATGATCAGAAGAACATACGTGAAAATTAACAAAAGCAATCTGTGTAACTTTTATCTTCTTGACGTTTCCCTACAGGTCGTCTTCAACTTTAAAGCAGTAAATTTCCTTGAATAAGAAAACAATATTGGGGATGGTGCATCAGCAGGTTTGTGTAGACCATAGTCACGTGACACCGCCTCTGGTCCTAGCTTTGCTTATGGGAAGGCTGGGTAAGATCCTGAGAAAACCTCCATCCTCCACGGTCACATGGGGACAATTCAGACCCTCCTCACGGGGTCACGGTGGGAACGAAGTCATGGAAGTGAAGTTAGGGGTGGTGGCTAACACTTGGAGGCCCTGGTCAAGTCCCCACCCCTGTGGCTGGTCAAGGATGCTCACCATTGACTTGTGCCCCCTGATTTCTGGGCACCAGGGCATCGCCTCATTGGGTGGTGTGTAGGTCAGGTGGAACTGGGGGCAGGCATCTCTGCCACCCACTAGCAATGTTCTAGAGACCCGAGCGGCCACCAGCATGTCTTTTAGCCCAGGATAACTTTCTCCCACTGCCCTGACCTCTCACCCCATAGGTTCCCTGTGACAGCGGCTGTTAGACACACGGGCTAAACAAAGTCATGTAGAGCTTACTTAAGTGACCCTGTCCCCTCAGTGGCTCTGAGTGTCATGGCTGGGATTTGAACCATCCAACGCTCATCCACTGAGCTGACCCTGAAGACTGGCTTGCCACACATAGGAGACAGGATCTACAGATTGCTAGTGCCTCGCATGGAGCCCTCAGAAAGGCTAACAGTGTGGGTTCAGGCACGAGAGCCTAAGAATGAGATGACTAGACCACCTGAATTTCCTGGGGCAGCTGAACCCAGCTGTTCCCAGGGCCCCTTTCCACCCCACAGAGAGCTTCAGACACCTCCCTCCCAGCCTCCTAGATTGACAGCCCATGACTTAGGTGACTGGGCGTGGTGCCAGGAGGTGGGGACCAGGCTCAGGCAGGCTCCCCAGGTTGCAGGGTGAAATTAAAAGGGAGGAGAGAGAGCACCAACCCATTAGAACGCACGCTCCTGCCCGGCAGCCAGGTGTCCCCAAGAAGAGCTGGGG